GCCTTCTTCCCTTTTACATATACCACTCTACATTGTATATATTTTATTCCTGTTTTAGACTGTAAGCTTATTTTCATTTATTTATTTTGGTAAGCTTATTGGAGGTAGGAACTATGCCCAAGTTATCCTTATGTTTGCAGTACTTAATACAGTGCCTAGCATGAAGGAGGTGCCCATGAGATAGTGGGCCCAGATGACAACCTCGGTGGTACGTGGACACCTGGGACTCTACAGCCTTTAGTTCTGGATATTGCCAGAGGCATGACCTGGAGGTTAGGAGAGGAGCTGCTCTGGAGGCTTTGGGACTAAGGCCTGTGGTCTTCTGGCGCTGGTGGAAATGTCTGTGTGGGCTTTGCCTCTTCAGCCAGCTAAGTCTGTAGCTGCCTGTCCTTCTCCTTTCTGCCCCCCATCCCCACCCACTTCCACAGTGTGGAGTCTGGAGTCTGCTTGAGTTGAAGGCTGTGGACCTATGGGTCTGCCTGTTTCTACTGTAGGAGAGCATCTCTGGGGACACTTGGCCTACTAGGAGTGGGACCTTGGTGAGTGGTCCGTGCAGCATTCTGCAGCATATTACTCAGACAGCAAGTCCTGCACACACGCCCTCCAGCTTCCTCCCCAGATGTGGGTGAGGCCTTTTCTCACACGCTCTCCGAATTCTGGGACTATAAATTCCACTAATCCTTGAGTTTTTCATATGGGATCAGCAGTGCCAACCTGTTTTCAGATAGGATCAGCAACCCAACCTGTTGCTTATTCGCATCCTCACAATCAGCTGCAGACTGCCACAACAGAAGAGCTCCTGACCTGTGCTCTGAAGAGACAGTAGCACAGCCAGGTAAGGCTGAATGGCATCACTGTAGCCCAGGATGGGACAGTGTGGCCCAGGCTAAGACTACTTCACTGTCTCCCTGCCTTGCTTTGGGGTCAATGGAAACTGAAACTATCCACCTTCATTCCTTTTTATTCTTTGCACTGATGTTTCTCTCCTTGGCTCTGTGTTTACAGCCTGGTCTTTATTTCTTCTTTGATTCTTATAGCAAAGCTCTTGGTGCAATGGGAGCCCTTAGGACCACCCAAATCAGACCCTTGTTGTATCAAGGTGCAGAAAATGGCTAGAGAGAGAACAGACTTGTCCAAGTTCACACAACTTCTGCTGATTTCTCCTTAGTCTCTCTTCTGTTTTTCAGTGTTTCTAATTATTCCATGTCTCTCATTCTCTCTCCCCTAATCTTTGTTTTCTTTCCTTTTCACTTTCCCTTCCTTTTTCTTTACTCTTTGGACCCAGTGCTAAAAGCCATCCAGCTCCAAGATGGAACTAGGTTGAGAGTGTGTTCAGTTGGCTTCCCTCTCCCATATCTGAATCAGGGCATCTGAATTAGTCAGCTTGGAAAGGGGTATCAGAGCAGGCAGTGAGGCTCTGGGACCACTTGATGCTCCTAGGACATGTGGTCAACCCTGCTCCAGCTGACACTGTGACTGCTTCAGGAGGGAGCATGAGTGAGTGCGTGTGTGTGTGTGTGGGTTGAGTCAGAGGCCTTGAAAGCTGGTTATTCAACCCCTTCTCCCAAAAGAGGGACTTCGAATAGGAAGAGGAAGCAAGGGAAACAGAAGAGGCCTGACCTCATCTTTGCCGATTGTTTACCTGCAACAGGTCAGAGGTGGTTTACCTTACAAAAGTGCAGCTTTCCTGCAAACAACCTGGAAGCAGGTTCAGATAAGCCATGCTTGGTAAGAACCATTGTAGGCTAGAAAGGGTACAGATTTGCTGAGCTGAGAGCATTTCTTAGAGGTGCTATAACTCGAGCTTTCCAGCAGGGGGTGTCCTATTCCAATAAAAGGCAAGTCCTCTTTTCCCTGCTGCCCTTCTAGACAAGGAGACTGGATTCCCTTCACCCTTGAAAGGGGGCTAATCTGTGATCACAGCTGTGGGGGAGGGTGGTGGTGGTGAGGGAAGAGGAAGCCCCCAGGTGGGCATAACAGTGTTTAAAATCTGGTGTCCTGTTAGGAAAGGTAGACCAGCTGGGACTGGAGGAACCCCCTCACTTCCCTGGAAATGTAAGGCTGTAAATATGACCTTGCAGGAAGGAGAGAGCATGTGTGAGCGAGTCAGTGAGAGCAAGCAGAGTGAAAGCAACTGGGGGAAGAAAGGGAGGTGGCCCAGCACCTGCACATGGAAACCATAGCTTGCCTCCCAAAGCAGAGCTTTTGGTTGCCTTTATTACAACACTGAGTACAGACTGATATTTAATCTAATTTTTCTCCAGAATTCCTGAGCAGCACCCATTCACTTATAATTTATAGCTATGGACCCCCAACTCGAGGGAACTGTGTTATGCAAGGGTTGCTAAGGAACGAAGGGAGATGCAGTAGGTAAGGCAGAGGTTGCCTAGTAACCAGCAGTCCCTCGGTGATGGAGTGGCCAGAGCAGGTCTGGAACTGACGAGGGTCTGTAGACAGTCATCCCACACCACAGCCTCCTGAAAGTTCATGTCTGTTGGCCCCTTGGCCTGGAGCTGCCAAAGCATGCTTCTCTGCCTCTTCCCTGCCTCTTCCCCACACTGTTGCGAATGAAAATCATACCCCCAAGTCCCCGAGTGCCCTTCTAACCCCTTGCTCCAACTGCTTCCTCCTTCCTCCCTCATCTGATTTCTAGGGCCTAGCAGGCAGTAGGACTGTCATACTGGAGGAGGCAAAAGCCTCTGGGCCAACACTGGTGTGGAGCTGGAAAATGTGGGGATTAGATAAAAGAGGGTCTCCTAGACAAACATCTCTGGCATTTTTCCAGTTCATGGGGAAATGTCTTTATACCTAAGTCTCTGATGACCGATCTTCCTCCTGCCTTCACACTTGTGCATAGCTACAGGGGCACAGGCTTTCGCTTCTGGGGGCCTCCTGAGGGAGTGGGCTCCACACTGCAGTACAGCTGGGCCTCCATATGCCCGTCCTTCAGAGAGCTTCACTTCAGCACAAGCCTGGAGGGGCCATTCAGAGCCATGGTCACCTTTCTCAGCCAGGAGTCCTCATCTTCTGCACTCCAAGCACATAGGTGTCTCTGCTGTCTCTGAAACACCCTGGACATGCACACCCTCCTCAGTCTGTCCCCCTAGACAGGCCCCTATCAAGACCTTCCTCAACCTTCCAGGTCCTGTTTATCTGCAGCTTCCCCAACCGAGACTTTCCCAGTCCCTTCAGCACTGACCGACCTTTCTGAGCACCCCCTGAGTTTCATGCTCGGGACAGGGCTCAGGGCCCAAGAGGGAGAAGCCAAAGCCTGCCCTTGAGGAGCTCACACTGGTTTGGGCAGCCTCCTCATTCCTGATCCTCAGCTTCCTGGTTAGGATCCTCCCTGGAAACCCTTTGTAAACTGAATGTTTATAATCAGAAATCTTGTTTTGTTTTTTTAAAAAAACAAAGTCCTTTGCATAGAACAACTCTGAGAAAATATTTGAAACTGGCAAATTTGCTTCTAAGAAGGTAATTGGGAGATTTAGTTTTCAAACAAATTTTGATCCGCTTGAATTTTAAAATTTACCATGAGCAAGTAATCTTTACTTTTAAACTTTTTATTGTGAAATATAACACATGTTAAAAGTATAGATACATAGTATACATTATGAAAGTTTTTAGATACACAAAAATCAAGAAACATAAAGTCCACATGAACAGAAACAAATGAAACCCTCCCAGCAACACTGAAAAGCCCAGAAAGTTGAAACTTGAATGGGTGAATCACAAAGGATCCTGTTGACTCTATTTCTTGGAAGTGAAATAATGGACCATAACACAGTCTGTCTCAAAACTTTCATAGTGACCTACACACACACACATATATATCCATGAACACCATGTAACTATCACATTATAAAACACAACAATGCCAGCCCTCGGAAACTTTTTCTCTAATCATAACCCTCCTTTCCCCCAAGAAATCCTCTTCTGATTTTTCTGATAATCACTGTCCTGCATTTCTGTGTAGTTTTATCACTCATTTGCGTTCTTAAATAACATAAAGTTAGTTTTGCTTGTTTTTGAATCTTGTGGAATCACATAATAGTATGTATTTTTGTGTGCCTGGCTTCTTTCGCCCAACTCTTATCTTTTTTAGATTCATTTATGTTGTTCAGAATAGCTTCAGTTCACTAATTTTCGTTATCATACCCATTCCATTATGTAAGAGCAACACACTTTATTTATGCATTACACCATTATCAGGCATGTGGACTTGTTTCCAGTATGGAGCATTCTAGGACAAAGAATGCTGCTGTGGGCGCCTGTGGCTCAAGCGGCTAAGGCGCCAGCCACATACCTAAGGTGGCGGGTTCGAATCCCTAGCCCGGGCCCGCCAAACAACAATGATGGCTGCAACCAAAAAAAAAAAGAATGCTGCTGTGAGCATGTGTGCACACATGACCTCCCTTCTGCAGGCTATGAGGTCCCTCTGCAGTCACTTCCTCACATAGTGCCAAACAGCTTTGGATGGCAAAAATGGTTGTACTTACCCTCCATTCAGTAGTGAATGAGAGTTTCTGTTGATTTTACTTTTCAACTAGAAGCAGTTTATTAAAGTTAATAACTAGTGTAATTATTTGTCCATTCCTGGCATCTCCACTTGGCTGGGAAGCTCCATGGTAGGGGTCCAGAGCTGCTCTGTGGTTCATCAAGGTGTCCTGGCATCTGCTTCCCAGAGATACATAGCAGGTTCTCAGTGCTTGTTTATGGAATGAATGGAAAAATAATCCTTGTCTAGGAATAATGATCCTTGATTGCTAGGTCTCACATTTTTAATTTGTGAGTAATTTCCCCAGTTTTATAACTAGGACATATTCATGGAGTGGTTTCCTGACCTGAGGCTCCAAACTGGAAATAAGTCTATGTGCCCAATTCACCCTGAAGCTCTGCCACTCTTTGCTGCCGGCCTTGTCTGTCAGGGAAGTGAGGGGCTGTATTATCCTCCCACTCATTGATGGCATCAGTGACAAGTGAATTGATTGCTTTTCTCAGGGCTGAATCAGTAGGAAGCAGCCTAGGCACCGCCACCATGCTCCGGGCAGTTACCTTGTTCCGCAGGGGCCTGTTTCGTCCTAGCCCTGGGCTCTCGGTGAGGATGACCAGCAGTGAGATAACCCCAAAGGGCATCTTGGCCAATCAGGTAGCTGTGGTCACCGGTTCCACCGATGGGTGAGTGCCCTCTTGCCCCAGGGGCCTTGACCTTCACAGGGACCTGGGCTTCCTGGGACTCAGTGTTGTAGAGCAGGCCCAGCCTTCTTTATTGATTTCCAGGGCTGAGTGGAGGGAGAACTGTGGGCAGGGCTGGGGCTGACTTGTGCTCTGCATCCCACTCACAGGATCGGCTTTGCCATCGCCCGGCGCCTGGCCCAGGACGGGGCTCACGTGGTGGTCAGCAGCCGGAAGCAGCAGAACGTGGACTGGGCTGTGGCAACACTGCAAGGGGAGGGGCTGAGTGTGACAGGCACCGTGTGCCACGTGGCGAAGGCGGAGGACCGGGAGCGGCTGGTGGCTAAGGTGAGGGGTAGCGGCTGTAAAGACACAGAGAGGAGCACTTGCAGAACCATTTCTTCACTGCTCAGCCCTGGGAAGGCAGAGACCGGGAGGGGGATTTGGGGCCTAGGACTCATCCTGAGACCAAGACTGCTGACAGGCTGACTGAGACCTCACTGTTCACAAGGGCCCTCTGGAAAGTGGCCTGTTCAGGAGAGGACCCTCAGCTCCACCCCACACCCTGGGAGAACCATGGTTGAGGAGAGTCTAAAGGGATGGGGAAGCCCTCCAGAGGGATTCCTGGAGAAGACCTTCTGCCCTGGGGCACCTACACGGGAGCCTGACCTTGAGCCACCCAGGACACTTTCCTTCATGAGAGTTTGGTTTTCACAGGAGCCTTGTACCATTCCTGGTTTGGGCAGCACCTGACCAGCAAGCTTTGCCTGAATGCCCCATGCACTTGAGCTCTGTGAGGGGGAGGCCTCTTTAGGCCATCTCCTCACTCACCCAAGCCCCTCTCTTGTAGGCCCTGGAACACGGTGGGGGTATCGACATCCTCGTGTGCAATGCAGGCGTCAACCCTCTGGTGGGGAGCACTTTGGGGGCCAGTGAGCAGGTCTGGGACAAGGTGAGAGGCTACCCCAAGGAGGCAGCTGAGGGATGGGACAGCCCTGTGCTGGGCTCCAGCACGCTCATCCCCACTGAGACTCCTATCTCCCCTCTAGACATTACTGTAAAGGCAAGCCCTGGATGGCAGGCCTCACCACTTGTCCGCTTGAATGTGACCTGATGCTACTTTCCAGTTTGTTGGTTTTTAAATCTGGCTCCTGCATTCTTTGTTTTCTTTTCTCTTCCTCTCTCTTTTACATTTATTCACTCTGCAAATATTTACTGCTCTGTGCGAGGCACTGCTTCAGGCTCTGGGGACACGGCTGTAAACATACAATAACAGTCTCTAAGAGTCAAGAATTTATATTTTTTAACATCATTTTGTGGGGGCATATATTGGTAACTGTGCTTTCTTCTGGGGGACCCGTACCTGCTGCTGAGAGTCTCTACCCTTCCTAGATTAGGGGTCCTCACTGTCCCTTAGGTGAACCTGCTGTCAGGGCCAGATCCATCCATCTGCATTCTGTAGGCTCAGACATTCCAGCCTGCTACAGTCCACTTAGCGATTCTGCCATCTTGTCTATAAGGGCCTTGAAGTCCATCTTGGGCTTTGTTGTTCTCCTATGACTTCTATTCCCTTCCCTCCTGTCTTTTGTTCCCTGTTTCCTCTGACAGTCTTATTCTTTCTGCCACTGTTAGCATGCTTCCCTCTGCCCCAAGCACGGGCCAAAGCATTTCCTGCCTGCTGGCCTCATCACATTCTGCTCTCCCCAGCTCCTGTGCTCTCATTTGCCGACTTCATCTCCAGGCCAGCCCTCCTTCCTGTCTGCCCTTGGCTGGGTGCCCTTGACTTCATCCTCAGAGATGACCTGAAATCTGAGCTCCCTGCATCCACTGCTGAGGGGCCTCCCCAGGCTCTTTAGCTACCTACTTAATGCCTCCAAAGCATCATTTGTGATTTTATAGCTGGGATTTTATTGCTGACAATCTCCTAACCCTCCTGAGTCATTTTTCCTGTTAGTGTCCCAGTTCATGGGATCATGACTCTTTTTCTCAGAATGGTTTGAAATCTTCCCTCCTGAAGCTGGGGGCACATGCTGATCATTGAACCTTACTTTCTCCGATGCCCCCCTATTCTCCACAGACTTGGTATTCAATGAGCAATTCTGCACCAATGGACAGAAATCGTTGATGATTTGTGCCCCAATCACATCTGCCACCACTGTGGAGGTGAAATTGTCACAAAATGGGTTTAGAATTTACCAGATGCTCTGCTTTGAGCTGAATGCAGCTTTCAGTAGGGGTTCTGTGAGAGGAATTCCTTACCACTCATCTTATTCTTGGGCAAGTTTTTAGTCCTTCCCCGGGCAGACCGTCATTTGCTCCAGCTAGTTGGGAAACCTCTAATCTACCACCACAACCATGTTTTCCACTTCCCTCCTGACCCAGGGACACACCCTCTTTCAGGCTTTGCTCAGGACTCCTTGGCATACAGAGCTACTCTCCCTTCTTTTCTAATGGGGCAGTTTTCTTCAGCAGGGGAGGGAGTCTCACCTTTCCTTCAGCTCGGGTTTGGTCCCCGAGTCTACAGGGGCCTTGTCTCAGCCTGTCACTCAGGTTGGTGCACATGGAGTTTTGGACAGACGTCCCGTGGACTGGGGGCGGGGGAGCCCTATTTTGACCAGGCAACCCTAGAGCTAGCATAATCCTTAAATCCTTTTTATTGGGGACCTCACGCTGATCCTCTCCTTCAAACACCTAAGCCACTTCTCACCATCATGGCTGTCATCCCTGCTTTCCCCCTGCCCTCATCTAAGGTACTGGGTGGGTGAGGGATAAAGGCACGGGGAAAACAGTTGGCAGTCCTGTTCATGTACAGATGTGCAGGCTCAGTCTCTGCATTTTTCTTTCTTTTTTTTTTTTTTTTTTGGACGGAGCCTCAAGCTATCCCCCTGGGTAGAGTGCCATGGCATCACAGCTCACAGCAACCTCCAACTCCTGGGCTCAAGCAAGTCTCCTGCCTCCGCCTCCCAAGTAGCTGGGACTACAGGCGCCCGCCACAATGCCCGGACATTTTTTGGTTGCAGCCATCATTGTTGTTTGGCGGGCCCGGGCTGGGGATTCGAACCCGCCACCTTAGGTGTATGTAGCTGGTGCCTTAGCCGCTTGAGCCACAGGCGCTGAGCCAGTCTCTGCATTTTTCCTTGCTGGTTCCTTTCCTACTTCTCCCCTGTTCCCACACCTACCAGACAGAGTGTCAGGATCTGTGTGGCTGAGCCCAAATCCAGACTTTAGGTGCCTCACTCCCAGAATGGTAATTCTCTGTTGTGTGTCTCTCTTTGTATTGGCCGCAGGAGTGCTTATGCAGGCCCTCACAGCCCAGGTTTCTGTGAGAGAATAATATTATAGAATAATGCTTAGTCCTTACTACATGCTGTGAACTGTGGGCACTAACCTTACTCTTGCTTTTTCTACTTTTCAACACTACAACACCTATTTGATTTGTTTTATCCTGATACATTGTGAGTATGCCTTAAATTCTACTGGGATAAAGCAAGAGCATAAACAAATGAAAGGAGGGGGAGACAAAGAGGACTGTTCTAGAAATCTCCTGCAGCACCTGCTCCCCCTCCATCTGTTTTGCTTTTAGTCTTTTTCCCAGAGACCTCTGCTTTCAGCTTCTTTCTGCACAAGCAAAGCACAGTCCAGTTTCTTTTAAAGGCCTGGACATTTCCTTCCTTCCTCCTTGTTCTGAACAATTCACATTTCCAGGGCTCTGCCCACGGTCTGCAACTTAGCCTGCCTATGAAACCACTAGCAAGTTGGAAACACCTTTTGCCCCAGTCAGAAGGGGGATTCGTGTCTCACAGCTGCACATGTTTGTATCTACTGCGTGAATTATAGGACTCCAGGCATCTTAAGAGAATAGGCTCTAGGCTGACCATGTCTGTCCAGCCTCCCTAATACCTCTACTCTGATTTCAGATCCTGAGTGTGAATGTGAAGGCCCCAGCCCTGCTGCTGCGCCAGCTGCTGCCCCACATGGAAAACAGGTGCTGCAGAGTAGGGGTGGGGACCGGCGTGAGTTGGAGAGCGTGGGGTGCGAGAGTAGAGCTGGGCACAGCCAGAGGGGTGGGGACAGAGGCTGTTTCTCTGGGACCTCCACATTTCCCAGTCTCCTGCTGTGCTGCCCCCTCCTTTGTGTGGCTGCCATTTCTATAATTCTGGTGGCTGCTGGAGGAGGGTGATGCTCCAGGTGCCCAGGTGTACTTTCCTTGGCCTTGACATCACCAGGTTTAGGTCGATGCTGTGCTTTGGTTCCATAAGCTTATGGCCTGGTCATTCTCATCTTTCCTACTCTCTGGTCTCACCAACTTAAAACCTGTAACAGGGTTTGCCCCATTTCTCCCCAGAGGAAGAAAACCATCCCAGACCCCTCCTCATTCCCTGCACCTTGGTCTGCAGGGATCCTGCTTTGATTCCAGATCCTGCAGATCTGACTATGCTCCTTATAGACACATCCCTTAGGAACTGGCTGGGGGCTGTCTTGGACAGAAAGAAGGTTCCTGACTTCATGTCTCCTCTGCCTATCTCTCTGGTCCTCAGAGGCTGCCCAGTGTGGGCACTTGTGCCTCTAGGGTGGGCTTGGCAAAGAAGCAGGTGCTTGCTCTCTCCATCAAGCACCTGGCCAGAAAGGAAGAGGAGTGGAAGGGTTATGAGCATGGGCATCCTATTTATGAGAAGTAGGGCTGGAACCACAGCTCTGCCTCTTGGAGGCTGCTTCCATACCTCTCTGAGCCTCAGTTTCCTCTGCTGTGAAATGGGGATAATCACATGTGTCACTGTTGTGAGGCTGCATTATTTAATGACTGCATCATGGCACCTCCCTCAGTTGTAAGTTGTTAGCTTCATCTCTCCTCTTGTCTGTCTCCTCTCAGGAGGGGCGCTGTCATCCTGGTCTCTTCCACTGCAGCTTATACGCCACGTGTGGTAAGTGCTTGGTCCTTGTGTTCCTGGGTGCCCTTGAGTAGGGGACAACTGGGCTCTGTTTGTCAGAGCCTCTCAGAGACCATGTCCGGGTCAGAGCCCTGCCTCACTCTGTCCTGGGCAGAGCTTGACCCCATGTGGCTGCCCTCCCATCCAGCTCCTGTTCTCAGACAAGGCTGGGGAGAGTTTATCTGGGCTGTGGGCTTGGATGAGAGGGATTCCCTGAAGGTGAGAGACCCAGCTGATGCTTTCTGCCACTCCCCACATTGCTCTCCCCATTCCCTTCCCAGGACCTGGGTGCCTACAATGTAAGCAAGACAGCCCTGCTGGGCCTCACCAGGACCCTGGCACTGGAGTTGGCCCCCAAGGACATTAGGGTGAACTGCCTGGTTCCAGGAGTGATCGAGACCAACTTCAGCAAAGTGGTGAGGACTGGAGTGTGTCCCCCCTCCCTAGTGACTAAGAAATGAAGAGGTGACAGGGGCCTCAGGTCAGCATGCTTATGGTTGAGGTCCTCACTGTCTTCTGAACTCAGCTATGGCCCAGTCCATCAACCCCAAGAAGATGATGGCTCTCCTGAGAAGGGCAAACCTGGCCTGGTTGTTCTGCTGGGCAGCCACCTTTGGGCCCTGCCACCTCCTTATTTTAGCAGCACTGACCCTTTGTCTCTTCTCTTTACCCAGTTACATAAGAACGAGACTTTCTGGAACAACTACAAGGAAAATTATCAGCTGCAAAGGCAAGCAGGGTGTGGAGTTTGGTGGTCTGGGTACAGCTGGGGAGGGGTGGCTGAGTCCATCTCAAAAGCAGACCCCTCTCTGTCTACTGCCCACTCTTTCTACTGTAGTCTGGAGTCCACATGGCCCTGGGAGGGGGTGCACCACCTGGAGCCTACTCCCATGTGTGACCTTTGAGCGTTAGAGCAGCAGAACCAGTGTCCAGGGTGACTGACGTTGTGCCCTCCTCCCATCCAGGATTGGGCGTCCTGAGGACTGCGCAGGACTTGTGTCCTTCCTGTGCTCTCCAGACGCCAGCTACATCACTGGGGAGAACATTGCGGTGGCTGGCTTATCCTCTCGCCTCTGAGTGGGTGGGGATGATGGTGCAGTTGTGGCTCTGGACCAAGAGCTAGGAGATCATCTGGGTCTGGGGATAGAGTCCGCAGCTCTGCCAGACTAGCAATTTGGGGGCTTGCTTATGCTAGGCTTGAGGAAGAAGAAAAACCCTTTAGTGTCTGTATCCTCAGGACTCCTCAGGACTCCTCGGCATGACTATGGTAGATTCCGCTAATCCAACCAGCATGTAGGGCTCTCGGGTGTGGGGCTCTCGGTGTGGGGCTGTGGTGCTTAAGGATTTTATGTGCCTGATGCTTTGATGGAGCCTTAAGAGAAAGAAGAAGAGGCTCAGGCACCTGAAAGATTCCAGCTCTTTCCCCCTGTAATTTGTGATTTAAACATTTCTTTCTTAAAATAAACTCACATTTATCCTGAAGTCTGGAAGTGTCTGGCAAGGGTGGAGCCCTGGGCAACATGGCTGCGTCTCCCGCTGGTTCCTCCCTTCGCTGCTCTCAGCCCTCTGCGGGCAGACACACTGTGGTAGGGAGCAAGGGCGCTGCTTCATGGCAGGCCTGTGTGTGCACGGTTCTCTGAGTTGGACCTGCTGGAGGCTGAGCAAAGATATGTGGGAGGGGGTGGAAACTTCTGGATTCTTCCAGAGAGTCTCTAGGGTAGTATTTCTTGATGTTTTCCTGGGCCACACAGGTCTTTGAGAACCTGAAGAAAAAATAGTTCTACTGTATCTATGTCCAATTCCGGGGAGAAGAGTCAGTGCTGAAGCTCCTCTCAGGGGTAGACCTAGGGACAGCTATTTTGGAAAAGGCCCTATTAATTATCCTGAGTCACATTCAGGGGCACCATCCTTCTGTGTGTACGTGTCCAAGGCCCAGCCCAGTTGAGGAGAAACAGTGGCCTTCGAGTCATCTCTGGCCTGAGGATACCGCTCTGAGACAAGGCTTCCAACCTGACCAGTGGCCAACCTGACCAGTGGCCTTTGTCTCACCAGGGCATCCCCTCTAGGCTTCCTGGGCATGGGTTCTTGTGAGAATAATTCAATTACTAGAACCTTTATTGTCCCCGATTGTGAGCCATACATTGTGCCAGGCACCTGGAAAACACAGATATAAATAAGACCCAGCCTCTCTCAAGTTCCCTCAATGTGGTAGGAAAACAGCAGTAAAACACTCATTTTTTTTTTTTTTGAGACAAGAGTCTCACTATGTTGTCCTTAGTGGAGTGTCATAGTGTCACAGCTCACAGCAACCTCCAACTCTTGGGCTTAAGCCATTCTCTTGCCTCAGCCTCCCAAGTAGCTGGGACTACAGGCGCCTGCTGTAACATCCAGCTACTTTTTGTTGCAGTTGGCATTGCTTAGCTGGCCTGAGCTGGGTTCAAATCCACCAGCCTCATTGTATGTGGCTGGTGCTACATACCAGCATGGAGCCGGTAAAACACTCATTAATAAAGGAGGTAGAAGGTATTCATTTACTTCACACATTTATTCAGTACCATTCCATACCAGGCACTGCTCCCGGAACTTAGGGTACAGCTGTGAACAAAACAAAGATCTTTGCCCTGCAGAGCTTGCATTCGAGTGGGTAGAGACTATAATAAACAACAAACAGATTAAGAATATATATTGTGGGCTTGGCGTGGTCAAGTCCACTAAATATAAATATATAACCTGTAGTCCCAGCTACTTGGGAGGCTGAGGCAAGAGAATCGCTTAAGCCCAAGAGTTGGAGGTTGCTGTGAGCTGTGATGTTACAGCACTCTACAGAGGGTGACAGAGTAAGACTCTGTCTCAAAAAAATGTATATATATATGTATGTACACACACATATATAGTGTTCATAGATACAGAAGAAAAAAGATAAAGTATATGGTAGGGGGCTTTGGGGTGTGGGGGGGTGCACTCAACTTAGGATTCTTGCCCTCTTCCTCTGTTGAAAAACTCATCCTGGAGGATCCCTTGAACTCAGGAGTTCCAGACCAGTCTTAGCAAGAGCAAAATTTTCTACTAAAAATAGAAAAATTAGTCGGGTGTTGTGGTGGGCAACTGTAGTCCCAGGCACTTCAGAAGCTGTGGCAGGAGGATCACTTGAACCCAGGAGTTTGAGGTTGCTATAAGCTAGCCTGGGGCAACAAAGTGAAAGTCTTTCTCCAAAAAAAAAAAAAAAAGTTCCTGGGCCCAAGCTTCCCAGAGCCCTGTGGGGTGAGGAAGCACCCCTCACTGGGGGCAAGAGGGGCGGGGAGGGGGCAGGGAAGGACAGACCTTTGCTCTCTGACCTGGCTTTTCTGTGCTGCCATACCCCTTTGGGCTGTCCTCACAGCCTCACAGGTGGACAGAGCACAGGGTCTCAGGGCTTGACAGGGTTGGGTGAGAATGAGGGCTGGGACCTTTTGAGCCTTCCCATTTCTTTCCACCACCATCTCTTGGGCCAAGTTTCCAGCCCAGAGGCTGTGGGTCATAAATAACAGCACAGATAAGCTTCCCTGGGATAAACACCCTCAGTATTTACCTGGCTCTGAATAGCCCTTGGGTAATACTGAGACTCTTTCAACTATGCTAATAAGTGAAAAACATAAAACAAAACAACCACGTTTGGCCTGGTCTCTTGAGGGTTCTGCTGGCTAGAGTAACCATGTGCTAGGAAGGAGGAAGAAATGGGTCCTATTAGCAATGAAAGGCCAAGAGTGGGACCGATTAGTTTGCAGCTCCTTGGGCATGGGAGGGGGAGAGCCTCAGGACGGGTCAGACGCTGAATATCAGACTCTCTGCTTTGGGAGCACTTTGTGGCCTATTTGTACATTTCAAATTAAACCCCTCATACCTGATTCCTCAAGAAATATCTGAAAAAAGTCTAGGGCCATGGGGATTCAGGGTATGCGGGGATGGCCTCCTGATTAGTCATTTGATAAACTGTCATGGTGGCATTCCAGCCTGAGGGTACTCTATCCACCCCCTCTCCCTCTTCACCAGGTTATGAAGGTGGTGCCACCTGCAGACTCTGCCTGCTTTTTCTTGTTTTTTTCTGAACCATGGTGTGGAAGGTCTTCACCTGTGCACTGAATTCACTGGCTGTCCCGGCCCAGGTTACCCCTGTGGGGCTGGGCTTGCCCAACAGGAGAGAACTTGATGGCAGTGCCATGGGGAGGGTCCAGGGACTATGTTAGAGCATGAGGGGTAGTCCCAGGTGGCCAAAGGCAGTGTAGCTGGATGACTAGAATGTGAAGTATCATGGAGGCTTGGTTCTATAGGATAAGGTGAGGACAGAATGAGTGCATGCCCAAGGCTGTGTTTTTCACCCTTGACTTCAAGTCAACATCCTGGATCAGATCTGACCAAGAAGATGAGCCATCCTTCCTTCTAAAGCCAATGGCCTCCTTGGCCAGTCACACAGTGGGATGGGCACTGATTGAGTGACAGAATAAAGGAAAGATTGGGAATAGGATGGAAATGGAGGAAAGGAATGGTCATAATTCAAGGTTGATAAGGAAGTGCCCTTGCACTTAGCCCCTGGAGGGCAAGGGCACTGTGCCAATGTTGGCATGAGCACTGGAAGGAGCTGTGTAGGTCTGGACTATTTTGTGTGCCCTGTTGACTCAAGGTTGAGAGTTTCTGTCCCTTTAGCTCTTGAAGGCTAAAAGTGGTGGTCCCTATGCAGGAAACATTCTTACAAATTCCAGGAAGCAAATGGCTCCCTTTGCTGAGCATTTTATCAGCATTTGGTGTTTTCTCATTGTAACCCACTTCAGAGAAGTTAGTTTGTCTCTGCGTCTATAGATTATAAATGGCAAGGTTGGAATTTGAATGCAAGTCTATCTCTCAACCACCCTCATAACAAAGTGGTGGTCAGGACTCTGTCAACCCAATTCTCTCCTCAGGCAATTCTATTGGTTTTCTCTTGAAAGCAGAGGCTGAGGGAAGGAGTGAGGGTGTGAGTGGTGAGAGACAATAGAGGAGATTCTCTATAGGAGAATAGGGGGAGCCACCACAGGGACATAATGGAGGGATCCTTGCCATGCAGCAAGGCTCTGTCCCTGGGATCTCCCAAGAGGACTACGGTGTCCCTCCTAAGGATGCCAGGTGGAGTGTTTATCTGTGGACCCTCATCTCCCATCCATCAAGGGTTGTCCCCAGGGTTATCAGCAACCCCGATTCCAGCCACAGAGGAAGATGCTGTCCATAGTGAGAGGTCAAAGACTGGAAATAAGATTATTATGAAACATGAAATGAAAGGAAACAGAGTCAAGATTCTGTGTGGGCAATGTCAGCCTTTATTTCCACCTGGGTGTGGGTGAGCTGAGTTTGAAAAGGAAGCAACTCCAGTTAAGGTGGACAGAAATTTAAAGGGTCAGAAGGGTAGGGGTTTGGCACATTCCCTCTTTCCTAGGTAGGACATTCTATTTGGGCAGGTCAATTCTATTGGGTGGGTTCCTCCATTTGACTCTATCATCCTAGTCTTTTTAGTCTATTATAAGGAGGTGGATGATGGGCGTGGTATCTCTGCTGGATGATGGGCATGGTATCTCTTTGACTGATTTCTGTGTGGGCTACCTGTAAGGAAAAAAGGAAAAGGGGAGAGGGAAGAGAGGGGTGTATATTCATTGTATATTCATTGATATTCATGTAGGGCGAGGATATAAGCAGATGTTTTTGGGGGTGACTGTCTGGTCACCCCAATAAATTAGGAGATGAGACAGAGAATCACAGGTCTGAAACTGAGAATGAGAAAAATTATAATTAGCAGCCCTAAAAGAGGAAATAACCAAGGAGGCCATGATTCCAGCACCATGAGGGTAGAATAGAGGACACAGTATATTACCGCCTATTCCCACCACTGAGATCTGTTTGTTTTAGAGGACTTTTATAAGATGGCAGCATGGAAAAGTTGTCCCCGTGTTTGTTAGAAAAGAAATTGGCTTATTTTCCACTAGCAAAACTACCTGCAGTTCAAATTTTGTGATTGTCTAGGAGACATTCTGATTTTCTAGGGATTGTTAGTCTTTCCCGGCTAGCCTTAAACGGTTGGGAAATTTTGCTAGGTCCTGGGAGTTACTCCAAACCAGAACCTTCAGAAAGACCTGGGCAGTCAGCCTGTGAGGACCTCTACAGGCTGGACACGATTTCGGGGGAGGGTTTAGATTTGGACACTGCTTTGCCCAAAGGCCTGGTTGCTGCACTTAAAACATGTCCCGGGTTGAATTTGTTCTTTCAGAGCACCCCAAGGAGTTTCAATAGGTAGCCTGGTTTTGTCTAATGGTAGAAGCCAATAACTGGAGTTCTGAGAAGTGCTGTTGTTTAGAGGTCTCTTCACGGTTATTGAAGACCTTGAAAGCCAGGTCAATGAGATCTCGCTGATGTTTCTGAGGGCTCTGGGGGGATTTTTGGAGTTTTTTTTTTTTGGATATTAGGT